TCGGCTCCAGTTTCACCAGGTTATATCAGTTCAGCTGGAGAAGCCTCGGATACTTTATCTGTGAACATCACCAGTCGTCGAATAAATCGTAATAATAATCGTAGAACGAACGCAAGTGCACCAGCCTCACCTGGACGCAATATGTTATCGTCTCGATCAATAAATTATACAAATAATAATGTAATAACTCCTGCTACAGCTCAAAATGGCGATGATGACGATCTAAATTTAATGAATCTTGCGAATTATTTCGATCCGGTTCATATTGCTGATCTAGACGGTCATACTGCCATTGTCAATAGTCTTGAATTTGCACATCGCAGCAATAAGTTATTATCAGGAGCGGAAGATGGCACTGCACGCGTTTGGGAATATAATTATGTCTTTAAACGGTGGACTTCAATCATTTTGGACATTAGAGGGTCTAATAACAACGCAAAAGTTACTTCTATGCGTTGGAGTCTTGATGATACTAAAGTGATAATTGGGAATAATTACGGTATTATTACAATCTTTGATAGCGAAAATGGAGAAGTTAGAGTTCGAATAAATGCGCACAATGATAAGATATTTGTACTAGATATTCATCCACATGATTCTCGTGTGATGATGTCTGCAGGATATGATGGCCGTATTGTAATGTGGGATATTACGAATGGCCGAGCTATAAAGGGTACGTTATTATATATGCTTAATAACTTTATATAATCATTACTAACGAACTATTTCATAACTATCAAGTCTGGGATCCGAGTAACTTGGAGTTTCTTGGCGACAAGTTTGAGGTTCTCGATGGAAAATTCCGTGATGATGGTATGTTCTCTTTTTATTCAAAAAAAAAAAAAGTCGTGGAACTCAATTATTGATATTTTATTAGGAGAAATGTTTGCTGTAAGTGACGGCAGGGGGAAGTGCCATCTTATTGGAATCGATCAGACGTGCAATTATGATAAATATCGTATCCGTGCAAAACATGGACAGAGATTCTTCGAAGATTATACGACTAGATCCGTGGTATTCTCCGAACAAGAATGGACGTTTATTGACAACGATAGTGGTGTGAGTTTTATTGCACTTTATATATGTACACATATATCTTAGGCGACTGGTGATGTTCACAGATAAAGTATCCGAGGCTTCTCCAGCTGAACTGATATAACCTGGTGAAACTGGAGCCGA